ATTGTTGCGCTATTGACAATTTATGATAACCGGGTGAGGAATTCACTGCTGTCGAACTGTGTGATTGAAATAACTCGGAGAAAAGGAAATGTGAAGGATGCCTAGCTGTCAATAACAAACATACAGGAGAAACTAAAATAAGCGTGTTAATAAAAAGTAAGCACGTTAAAATTAAGTCAACAAATGGTTTTCTTACCTTGATCCAATGTAAGACGGGTTAAGATCCATACTGGGGAGCCAGTTGACACAATTTACGTCGCAATAATGTAGTCGACACTGTAAAAAGCAAACAAACCAAAAGACGAACACAGTTAATAATAATCTTTGTAAAATATCGAGGCACTTTCGTTGGCGTCGACGACGCGGTTTCCAACATGATCCTCAAGCGTCGAAAAGTTAGCAGTGTTAATGGCGACGGACGCGGGTGCGGATCGGTTCGTCGAGTTCGGTCGGGCGGCACGGGTGGCGTACATTATCGGCGTTGTCACTTTAACAACGGGAAGTAGACCCAATGTATTATTTGCGGCAGGTCGTCGCCGGCCGTGCGGCACTTGCAGGACTTTGAACCGTGTCGTATCGCACATGGTATTGGTCAGTCAAACAAAAATACTAATAGTAGGGCGACGGCTGATAAAGGTGGTATGAGTGACGGAGCCATATCACGATAAAAATTTGTTTATATATATATAATATTGATAACACGCACTCGTTTACGGGTACGATAACCAAAAATAAATTTATACAGGAATAGTATTGCCGAAGTGTGATGAGTGTGACGCGGGGTGGGGTGAATACGTTACGACAGTCTAGTCTAAAGGCCATAGACGACGGGATCGCGAGAATAATTACACGTGATGCGTGGAGAGTTACAAACATACTTACAGGTGAAACTAATATAAGCTTGTTAATATGTATAATTTTGCTTCATGACTTCACCGTAGGCATTGGATTAAATACCGATTTCTGTTTTCTGGTAGGTGGTTCGAATCTCGTCGCAGCGGTGTTCGTAATGCGTTTTTCGGGATAGGTGAGATTGGGGCGCTGTTCTTTGAAAGTGTGTTCCGTAACGTCGGTGCGGTCACAGATATCGTACCATCGTATTTTTCTAGAAATTTAATTTTTGATTTAATAACTTTTAGAGAATTTCATCTTGTTTTATCATGTATATTGTCTATTTTAAATCATCATAAAATGATGATTATTATGTGATTTTATATTGTTACCATGTAGTAATATGATTTTAATTTGTAATAAATGTCTAGAAAATTGATACATATTAAAATAATGTACAGTATAACAATACTTTCTTAAAAATTATAAAAACTGATCAAATTTAAAATGGTGAGTAACTCATAAACATGATATAGATATTTCTTACAATGAACTTGAGAAATTTTTACTTTTTTGCTATCAATCCATTAGGTTAACAATACTATGATAGTATCTCTGAGTTTTTATCAATTTATTTTAATCAGTTTTGGTAAACAATTACTGGTATATTTTTATAAATCAGTTTGCAATGCATCTAAGAACTTAATGGAAATCACAAAACCGAACAAGATTTGTTTTTTTAGATGTGTTTCACTAAATTTTAAGCAACACTAAATGTTTTGTATGAAGCAAAACCCCTTTGATTTTACTAACAGAAAACAATTTTTATGATTAAATAATTACTTATCATTTTACACTTACATTTAAAATGAAAAATTAAAATTAAAACCAATAGTTATTCAAAAAAATTAATACATTCTCTAAAACTGTTATCAATTATTAAGTAAGCACTCTTGCAAAAATTAACATTAAAATATAACGTAATTTATTTATAATTTTTTATCTATTGTAAAGAAAATATCAAGTTAAGCATGTTTTTGAAGTATTGATTTCAAAATAAAAATAAAACTATTGGTAGTAAAAAATGTAATAAAACTAGTTAGAATTCAAAAAATAATACTCAATATTCACATATGAACCATTAATAAAAAATAAAATAATATGAAAGAATGTCTTTTAAAATAGAAAATTTAGCTAAAATTATTGTGCAGTTTAGAAACGAAATTAATACAAATTAAGAAGAATGAACTAAATATATTTTTTTAATCAATGCTAATCATGTACAAATTTACCTAAAATTCACAAGATATAAAAAAATTATGATGACCGAATAAATTTAAAATAATAAATATTGTTGAGATAAGTGAATGGATAAGCTTAATTTTTTTATTTTTTAGTAATTAATAAAATTCTGTTCAATTTCTTTTTTTAATATATAAATTTTTCTTCTATAACATTTGTATTCAATTTTTCATTACTAATTTTGGAATTTTTATTAATAATACAATGTAAATATTGTTCTACACCATAAAAAAGTTTTCAACACAACTTTTTAATTTTAATTATTTTACAATTCAATTTTTATTTTCATTTACATTTATAAATGTTCAACCTCCAATAACTTTATTTAAATAAATAATAATTTATTTTAGATGTTAGGAGTTATAATTTAGTATTCTGAAGTATACTTCAATTTAATTTAAATTCATAGATTTTTTTCATATTTATAATGGATATTATTGTTTTAACATCCATTCTTTCTTTTAAGTTATTTGAAGAAATTAAAAAATGATACAACAAAACTGAATCATCAACATTTAANATTAAAAAATGATACAACAAAACTGAATCATCAACATTTAAAAAAATTTGATAATTCTCAAAAAAGAGAACTGGTTGTATTTTGTGAAGAACTAATAATTATCTTTTTTTAATAACTTTATGTTTTGTATTATCGATTAAGTTAAAAGTTGACTGATTAAATAAATTGTGAACTTTTCATATACATTTATTAAAATATTTTTTTATATTATATTGAAAAATTCATTAGTTTTAATTTCAATTTTATGAAATACCATTTCAAATTTGTAATTACAAATCATATTCAGTTAATTATATTTGAAAAAATTATACTAATTCAAAAATACAAGAAAATACATGGTTTATCTATTAATTTATATCTCTATAATGAAGACTTGTGAATAAATTTACACTTTTGTATTTATTGTAGGATAATATAACAAAATAAATGCACATTTTATTTAATTTATTTTTAAATACATTTTGATTTGTGACTTTTAAATCGCTTTGATCCTTAAATTATACTAATTTAAGATGAATGATAAAGATAAAAAACTTAATTAGTACTCAATAATGAATATTATGTACAAATTGTTAGCAAATATTAAATGAAATCAATTATTTAATTAATAAATTAGAGAACTGTTATGAAAAAAAATATAACTTTATGATGTTATACCTAACAACTGTAATATTAGAAAATATGAACAAGTTACTTTAACTCGAGTTAAAAATAATTATTAATTGATAATTGAAAAAAAAACACTTATAGGTATTTATAATAAAATTCGTTTTTTTCTTTAATTTAAAATATTACAAATAAATTAAGTAATCTAATTAAAAATTAGTTAATTAATTAAACTAATTTTTATTAAAACTATTTTTTGGCATGTTACAATTGAAATATAGTTAAACTAGAGGCAACTACTCAACAAGCTACAACGTCAGATTTTTATAAACTGCTCTGTTACTCAGTTAACTGATTCAACTTTAAATGAAGTGTATAAAGGACCTGTAACTCATCACTCTATAATGTCACCTACTATGGAATCAATTTTGGAGTCAATAGATTTACCTGATGAAGAGGCAATTCTGAAAACATAACATTTCATTATGTAAAAATTGTATTTTTGTAGTTTGGTTAAAACTTATAATACAAGAAATATAAAAGTTGTTTAATAAACTTACTATAAAATTGTTTCTGTTTAATTTTGTTAGTTAAGTAAACATCAAAAAATAATCAGTAAATTCAAATTTGGAGTTATGGAATAATCTGATGAAGTCGCAGTCTGAATACACTATTAATGAACATGGTTTGTAAAGTTGAGCATCCTAATTATGAGCCACCTACAGTTTTAATAGCAAACTTTGTTTGTGTATTGAATAATAATGTCATAATTATCACTGATAATTTTTGTGTAAACCTATAAACTACCATCTAAAATATGTTGGACAGCATTACGTACTTTAAACTATAACAATTGAACACGTTTCAACGGTCACAGATAAAAGTGATCCCTAGTTATGTACGTTAGATATCAATGATAAAACTCTAGTAGGAAATAGTCCGGACACATTATGACATGCATTGACTGATAATGCTTATTTTCTTCAAAAACCCCAATAAATTATCGCATATAAGAGAACTGAGAATTTTTTTATAAATTTGCAATTGATAATATCTATTAATATTAAATTCATAAAAATGATCATAGATAATCTGCCTTAAAATAGAACACCTCTTTACTCTTAATACGACTATTATTTAAAAATGATTAAACATTAAAAGTTATTTTCACCATAATTCTTTTTAAATTTGAATTATCTATTGACATGTGTAAGATAAATTAAGCGTTCTCTTATAAATTTCTTTAGTTGGGGTAGATTTTTACCCTTTTACATTATGATGAACTTTAATTTTAATCATAAAAGATGGGTTTAAATAATCAATTGGCCTTAAAAAAAAAATTATAAAAAAAATCAATAGCATTATTCTTACCGGCTAGTTGAAACGGCGGATGATAATGTTGAATATTGAAAGGATCAACTGAAATTAAATGCAAGTGGTTGACCAACGTGTACAATATGTTGTGAACTGTATTTTGATGTATCTCAGAAAATATATAGACCCAACGGCGATAAATTGAGCGCACAGGGTACGACAATCGCAAAGGTGATATTTTACTTTTACAACAAAACGAATACAAAACTGCTGACTCACAAGCGCCATAGAGCTTATAACAGAAGAAGCGTTAAGATGGCGGCGACAATGGTGACATAGAGAGAAAACCGACAACAACTCCATGTAACACAACGATAACATGAATAATCAAACACACATTTTCTTGACAGCAATTCGATCGATGTGTATCCAACAATATTAATATAATAGATATCATCTATACTGTGCCGCGACCCCAATGTACAACCGATTTGTTTCATAATAAATTAGCAGATAATTTGCAACTGATATCACCTTTATATAATTAAATTAATAAAAATGATCATAGCAAAATCTGCCTTAAAATAGAACACTTTTCTACCCTTAAAACGACGATTATTTAAATTGGTTAAACATAAAAAGTTACTTTCACCATAATTCTTTTTAAAATTGAATTATCTATTGACATGTGTAAGAAAAATTAGGTATTGCCTATTAAATTTCTTAAGTTAGGGTAGAATTTTACCCTTTTACATTAAAGTTGAACTATAATTTTAATCGTAAAAGATGGATTTAAATATTCAATTGGCCTTAAAAAAAAAATTATAAAAAAAATCAATAGCAGCTCTAAATAATCGGTCTTTCCAAATTTGTTGAACATACTGTATACAAGTAAAATGATGGTACAATACATTTATTATATGGGTTTTTATACAAAAAAAAATGTGCATTTGAGTTTTCATCATTAAAACTACCGTTTAAAATATATATAACATAATGCTTTACACTTATTAACTGGTTTATAAGAAATATTTATAGCAACTTTGTACATTTTTAACATTGATATTAATTTTGCTTCACTTTAAAATCAACAACAGTTTTTTTGACTAATAGATCGAATAAAAAATTATATATTGTGTTTTATAAATATATATATATATATATAAGTTTTAATTTCAAAAAGTAATTGTACTTTAATTAAATGGCTAATTTTTTAAAGCGCTATTATAGAAATTTAAAGAAGAGGCTTTGTTTCAAGAAAAAGAAAATAGGTAAATAGGGAATTGATTATATTTAATGACTGATTTGTTTACTAAAAATGATAGAAAACTTAAACATATTTAACTTCTTTTTATATTCATTTAGTCACTTCTGTAGATTGTGAAGCACAGACAATTACACATAACGTAGTTCCGCAGACACAGGAAAATAACGATAATGCTGCTCAGAGCTTAATATTGACTTTTGACATATATACTCAGACTCAAATTGAAGCTGAGTTAGTTGTATTTGGTACACAAACAGACAAATCAACATTAAAGGTCGAACATACGGAGAGCACTACTCAAACCTCTGAAATATCTTACGACGAGCAGTGTACACAGACCAAAATTAAGGCTAAGTTTATAGAAACACAAACTGATGAATCTTCATTCAATTCGCCCTTAAATGTTGAATATTCAGAAATCGCTTCACAGTGCTCTATAACACCACTTACTGTGGAATCACATTTTGAGTCACCTCTAGTTTTAACAGGTATTTCTAAGAAAATTCGTTTTTTTTTTTTAATTAAAAATTTTACTAACAAATTATTTAGACTTTCATAACTCATGTGTAAGTTTACTTATATGAATCATATAAAACTAATTTTATTAAAATTATTTTACATTATGTTATGATTCAAATATAGATAAACTAGATGAATATAAATTAACTCAATTATATAAACCAGCTACACGTGTTGAGAGATATACCCAGACAAATTCTGTATCTGAATTAAATGATTTAACTAAAAGTCTCCTGTATACAGAGACGGGTACTCAGTGTTTGTTATTGTCACCATCCAGGGATTCAATTTTGCAGAATATAGATTTACTGTACTTTGCATTTGGATTTACATAAAAAAATGAAGGAAGATAACTCTTTTAGAGTGCTGCCTTCTTCAATAGATTTTTTTTAAAAGAAATTGTTGAATGAGATTAAAAAGAAGTTTATAAAAAATAGAATGAATACTGACACGACTTACGTAGCAAAAATGTGGTCGACACTGGTTTGAGAGACCTGTGGGCCGTTTATTAAATGAGTGACAACAGATTATTTTAACAAAAATAAAACAAACCGAAAAGATAAACACATAATAATAATACACATAATTAACTCATAACAATAATAATCTTCGCATAATATCGCGGCACTTTCGATGGCGTCGACGACGCGATGTCCGGCGTAAACCTTGAACGGCAAAATGGTTAGCAGCGTTGTAAGCGACGGTGCGCGGGTGCGGTTCGGTTGGTCGACGTTGTCGCTTTCACGACGGGAGGAAGACTCCCTCACCATTTGCGGCGGGTCGTCGTCGGCCGTGCGGCATTTGCTGGACTTTGCACCGTAGCGTATAACACGCGGTGTTGATCAGTCAAATACTCATAGTAGGGCGACGGCTGATAAAGGTGGCACGAGTCGCGGGGCATCGTGTATAACGAAGCGACGCGGGCCGTGTCATATACCCCCCCGCCAAGCCGCCGGTCTACTTAATGACGGCCGGGAAGGCAATCGCGTATAGCAGTGAATGCCGCCAAACTCACGTTGTCTGTGGGTGATCTAAGGGGTGAGTGCGTGTAATCCATTTCCATGGGTTTCTCCGCTGGTCGCTGTTTCACCGCTGCTAATTTGGATGATGCTACCGGTACTGTATTGTTGCTGCTGCTGTGCTGTTGCTACCGTTTTTGTTATTGCCGCTACTGTGTTGTTGCTGCCGTTATTGTTGTTGCCGCTACTGTGTTGTTGCTGCTGTTATTGTTGTTGCCGCTACTTTGTTGTTAAAAACGATGTCTCCTCCATGTTTGATGCTAAGCGTGGTGGTGCTGTTCTCGGGCTGGCACTAGTAAAGTGAGTGATGTGTGTTCAATAAGCGTTGTGCGTCTCACCGTGTCAATAAAAACGTAGCGCAGTTTTTCACTATCTGTGATGATAGTTCGCGCGTGTGAGGGTCGCCTGCTATAACATCGGGTGGCGTGTGTCGAGTACTCGCTTTCCAATAAGCTGTAGTGCGTCGCGTCGCGCCCAAGTGAATTGTATCTGCAGCGTAGTCCCAGGAGACTTCCTGTTCTGTTAGAAAGTCGTGTCCCAGGAGTACGTCACAGTACAGATTCTCTAAGATAACAGCTGTGAACTTTACTTGTAGATCCGCAATTTTTGTTATAAAGGTAACTGTGCCGGCCGTGCTGTTGTGTGACCGTCAGCTAACCTAACTGGGGGTGTTTGTCCGTTGTGCACAATTCCAAATTTGTGAGCTGTTGCTCGAGTGGTATACGATTTTTGCGCTCGAGAGTCAAGTAAGGCCGTCACAAAGCCGTTGTCAAATTCCAGCTCCACAGCGGGAGTAGTAATTTTACGCGGGCGTGTTTGTGCGGCAATACTCAGGTGGTTAGCGGTTCGAACGGGGAGCGTTGAAACGGTTTGTTCGCCAGCAGTATTAATTGCCATAAGCGGGTAGGCCGTTCCTGCCGTATTCCCCTCCCCCACGGTGACCAACATATCGTTGGCCCGACTCGCGCTATAGTCGTTACCTATTACGTCTACGAACGTGTGACAAGTATTTTGAATAATCTTATGGTCCTCATTGTGGATGAGGGGTGTGGTGGTGGTGAGGTGTGGTGCTACAGCGTGCCCACTATAATGACAGTGGGGCTGTAGGGGTGTTGGTGAAGGTGGTGTGATAGAAGTGTGGTTGATAATAAGATTATTTAAAATAGTGTCATTTTGATCGAAGAAAGCGCATCCGTTTTTGTTACCGACGATGATTGACCGTGCGATTTGGTCGGCGCGCTGATTAGTTCAATATTGTTTTGAGCGGAATTGTGTTTGTTTGCAAAACTCGGGTGGTATATGACTTATGCGCTTGTGAGTCAAGTAACGCCGTCACAAAACCGTTGTAAAATTCAAGTTCCACAGCGGGAGTTGTCATTTTACGCGGGCGTGTTTGTTTGGCAAAACTCGGGTGGTTTACGGTTCGAACGGGGAGCGTCTGAACGGTTTGTCCGCCGGCGGTGTCAATCGCCATAAGCGGGTAGGCCGTCTCGGCTGGTATTCCCTCCCCCACGGTGACCAACATATCGTTGGCTCGACTCACGCTATAGTCGTATAACACGGGGACATTTGTTTTCTCGGCCGTATGATTGATTTTTTTAAAGACCTTGAGGACCGCATTGTGCCCCTCACTGTGGGTGGGGGGTGCGGTGAGTGAATTTAAAGGGGCTACAGCTTGTCCTNGGTGCGGTGAGTGAATTTAAAGGAGCTACAGCTTGTC